TAGGTTGCTTATTTTAAGAGGAGGTTTATAGGATTTGCTGTACAACTAGTCAAATGGAACACTATGAGCTGGTACTGAGAATTGCAATCATGCATTGCTTAACCACAAGGATGTGTTCTGAAAAATAAATGTGCCATTAAATGATTTCATTATTCAGTGACCATGATATAGTATAATTATACAAACCGAGATGGATAGTCTGTATGACTAAGTCTGTGGTATATGCAGTTGCAACCATCTTCATATATATAGTATATATCCTTGAGCTAAATGTCCTGACGCAGTTTACTGCACTAGGATACTTGCTTTATAGAAAAAGTCAAGATCGTTAGAGATAGTAAATAATTCGAGTTATATTTGACAAGGCACTGTTTATAATATTATCTAATCCCTTTCTAGATGTCACTATTCATTTTAACCAAAATTTCCTGGGAATCTTTCTTCATTTGGCACCCTACTTATAGCAGTGTTGGGTCTAATATTTAGGCATATACAAACTCTTTGCCTCTACACCACAGAGGGACCCAAAGCTACTGACTCTTGGACCTTTGTTACATCCAGTCCTCCACCTCTTTCTTACCTTTGTATTCCATATTGTTCTTTTTATCTCTCTTATCTTCAGTGGAATACTCACTATCAGTTGAGGAATAGTGAAGCAAATGTCTGCAGGTTTCTCATGCTTTCCTGTACTAAAAGAAGAAACATCGTCTCTTGTTTTGAATTATATTTTGAGGGATTCTTGAAGAGTCAGGGACATAGTACAGTGGGTAGGGCATTTGTCTTACATGCAGCCAACCTGGATTCAATCTCTGGTACTCCATACGGTTGACCCCAAATCACTCCTTCCAGGAGTGGTTCCCCAGCATAGAGTTAAGAGTAAGCCCTGAGCACCCCCAGTTATGACATCAAAATAAAAAAAAAACTAACAACCTTAGAAGTAATATTGCCTCTTTCTCCAAATTCGAATGTTCTGACTCCATGTTTTCTCTTCTGCTATGTAGTGTGTTGCATGTACAATCATCACCTGGGCCTCTGCATATAACTCTGTGGGAATTAGAACATTGCAAAAGAAGATGAATGTTCTGACTATTGTGAGTAATTGTCATTTTTCTCTTGCCCAGAGGTTATGTGTCTTCTGTCAGTTTACATTATATGTGGCAAGGTAATTTATTAGTTTCAAAGTAGGATAAAATCTCAAATGCTTCAGTTTTTCATGCCACATGCATAAATTCTTCAATTGACCTCTACTTACTAAAAGTTTGGATTAAAGACTAAGTCCTGGTGTAGAGGAGTGGTATGTCTGTATATCCAAATGCAGAGTCAATAATATTGAAAGCTGGAGATGCAAACCACAACAACCAAACTTAAAAATGTGCCTGTTGTAGTAGAAACAAGGGCCAACGAGTCTGGTAAACAGTTGGAAGGCTGCCTCAAGTGCAGGGAAGAAGCCAGGGGGATAGAGAAGGGACCATTAAGACAATAAATGGAAATGATCTCTCTGGATAAGAACTGTGTGCTGAAAGTACATAAAGGATCAAACATGATAACCTTTCAGTACCTGTGCTGTAAGCCATATGCCTAAAAGGACAGAGAGAGAGAGAGAGAGAGAGAGAGAGAAAGAGAGAGAGGTAAAGGTAAAGGCCCTCCCGTTGATCGTCGATTTGCTCGAGCGGGCCCAGTAACATCTCCATTGGAGACTTTGTTGTTACTGTGTCTGGCATATCGAATACACTCGGTAGCTTGCCTGGCTCTCCGAGAGGGAGAGAGAGAGAGAGAGAGAGAGAGAGAGAGAGAGAGAGAGAGAGAGAGAGAGAGAAGAAAAGTAGCTGCCATAGAGATAGGCTGGTGGGCGTGGTGACGGAAGGAATATTGGGGACACTGGTGGTGGAAAACATACTCTGGTGGAAGACAAGGTGTTGGAACATTGTATGACTGAAACCCACCCACAAAGAGTTTAACTGTGTATCTCATGGTGATTCGATTTAAAATAAAAAAAGTGCCTATCAAAGAGACGGGCTAGGGATTGGGGGCAGGAACCTGGGGACACCAATGGATGGAAGTTCACACTGGTGGTGGCACTGGTGCTGGAACATGGTAAGACTAAAACTCAACTATGAATAACTTTATAAACCATGGTGTCTTCATAAAAATTAAATTAAATGGAAAAAGAATCCCTAGGAACTGGTAATTCATGCCAACAGACTGCAGCATGTGATCTGCATCCATACAGGAGGTCCAGGCTTGATCCCTAGCACAGCACTCCATGCTCCTTTCAGAACTGCCAGGAATAATCCTCAAGCACTAAGCTGAGAGTAACTTCTGAGCATGCTCAATATGGCCCAAACATCCTTCAAACAATCAGAGACAATTAGTTTTTAACTGTTGCTAACAAAAAATTCAATGAACTTATAAAGTTTTATAACGTATAAAATTTCGGTTAGCTCTGAAAATCCCACATACAGGCCATCTGTAGAGCCAGGCATTATAGCTCTATTTATCAAATCTACGCTCTTACACATGAATCATGTCTTTTTCTTGAAGCTTCTGATAATCACTTTTCTCAAGGAAAGGGTTACAATACTGTTCCACTGTAATTTCTGCATCTGCATCAACTTGCTGGTTGAATATAAACTAAAACAGACTTTCCTGGTTGTTTTAGTTAAGAGCAATTTTCTAAATGTCTTTAATAAATCTGACCATAGCTATTTATGGAAATGAAGAGGAAGAGGGCACTCATGATAAAAATTTCATCTCGGTAGCTGTGAACATGAAAGTATGTTTTCTCTGTTTTATGTAAACCTAGTTTCATAATCTTTATATAAGTATAGCTGAAAAAAAATTTAGACCTCATCTCTGCAAGGTCATACACAAATCAGATGTATGGCCTCTAAGGAGACTATATGGTAATTTACAATTATGGGAACTTTTGAAACTCATAGTAAAGTGTTTATATGGTTGAGTTTAATACTAATTCTCTGTTAAAAAATTTGTCTAGAGACCGAAGATATCCTACATGGGGTTTATATACTTACCTTGCAGGCCACCTACCCCAGTTTAACCCACAGCAATATTTGGTTTCCCAAGCACAGGACCCAAGTGTCACTATATCAATGGTCTGGTTGACAAGAATTGTTTGGACCCCCAACTCCCCCCAAAATAAGATGTTTGTTAGTTAATCCTAGTCATCTCCCAAGTTTAGTACTAAAACACCCTTTGGAGTCACCATTGAACTTTTCTCAAATATCAGAAAAAAATCTTCTCCCCAAACTAAACTAAACATAGCATATTATCATTTTAGCTTTTAAATGTTATTGCTTTAAGACCTTTAATATTATGTTGCTTAATTTTCACAATAAACAAACTTCAGATGTATGCAGCCAATAACAGATAATCACAAAACTTAATACTGTATTGACCTTCTGTGCATGTTGATAACGTGATTGTTTATTTAGTGTATTCACACTTAACTGAATAAATGAAGTGAATCCCTGACTAATTAGGTTTAGCACATCTATATTTGTGTAATTTATTTTCTTTTTTGCAATATAAATGCACGGTGTTAAATTAGTTTGGTGAATTTTAATCCATTTTCCCCCAAAAAAGGAGTTTTCTTGTTTTTAGTATTATTTTTGTAATAAAAAATTTTGGTACAGTTTTCAAGTTTGTCATGAAAAACTTTGAAACAAATTCTTTTAAACCTTTACTCGTTATTGATTAGAACATCAGATGCAACAGGCCCAATAACAGAAGTCTTTGATATTGAGTGCTAGTTTTCCTTCTTAACTGACATGATTTTAAAGACCTATATTTTTGTAATTATTTAAAAGGCTCATATTTGCCTTACTCTAATGTCATCAGGGTTTGTTTATATATATATATATATATATATATATTATTTCTACACTTACCTTACACCTGGGGTAATATGAGAGGTTGGAGGAAAGGTATTGATTAAATATTGACTTAAGAGAAAGTCCCTGAATTATTACAACTTTTCTGCATACTGATTGTGGTGGTGGTCTTATGATTATGTAAGAATAAGTCTTTAGCAAGTGTCATTAAATTATATTTAATGTAATTTTATTAAATTATATTTAAAATTCAAGTATTTTAGTTGAATTTTACATAATCTTTGTAAATTTCCCGTACCCCCCCAAAAAATTGAATCAATTAAAAACCATAAATTAAGAAAATTCTCTTGAAATTAAAGAAAACATGTACCTGTTTATTAAAAGTGTCTACTAGGTCACAGAAATAATTGACTTGAAATTCTGAGCTCCGTGAAATATGTTAGAAAAACTATGACAACTAACAAAAATATTCTCAGGATTTAGAGACTAAAAGACTACAGTATGAATTAAGAAATTCATACTGGGTCCAGAACTCTCAAAATCAAGATATAAAACAAAGTGAAAGTGAAACAACAATCTTAAGAAACTCAAAGAAAGAAAGGGTGATCCAAGAATATCACAGCCAACTCTGCCAGTGTTAATCTAGTCAGTCACAGAGACTATCTGAAATGACTCCATATGACCTTCGCTTTATCATTCTGAAATGAACTAGTAAGGGAGAATCTTTGTCAGACCAAGATATAATATTTTGGTGAAAGAACAGATGGTGAGTATTCAGTATATTTAATTTTAACATGAGACAAAAAATCAAATAAGGAAAATGATATAAGTATATGCAAAGTATTCAGTATTTAAAATGGGGAAAAGGAGGTAACGAAAACGTGTAAAGTAAAATAAGATCCTATTTTAATTTCTACTATTGTTGTAGAAATTAAAAATAAACAGCTAAACCTTGGAAAACAAATAATAAGAAGGAAGGTAAGGAAAAAAAGGACCTTAGGTGATGTATAGCATATAAATTAAAAGAAAGCTTTCAGAACAAATAGAAAACTCATCTCAAATACTAAAAGAAACAAAAAAAAAAAGTTTACATGGGAAAAAGAAAATACCAGAACACATACATTTATCCAGACATTGAAAATTAACCTAGTGCTCGCTTCACCAGCACACATATTAAAATTGGAACAATACAGAGAAGATTAACATGGCCCCTGCGCAAAGATGACACAAAAATTCGTGAGGTGTTCCATATTTAAACAAAACTAAAAGAATATGCATCTATAGGGGCTTTATTGCCGGGATTGGTGATGATAGGTCCAAGGGCTGAAGCATATACTTTTCAATTCCAAGGCCCTTAATTCTGTCCCCAATCTGGCATGTGATATCTCTCTACTTGCCCCCAGGGATTTCTGTGTGTGGCTCCTGTCTACCCAACACATCTGGACTCAGCATTGAGCCACTGAGCCCTAGCACTGAACCATCAAGCCCCCAGAACAGGGTAGTGTGTGACCAAGGAATGACTCTGGGCCCCTGAGCACTTTTGAACAAGTTCCCTAGGCCCACATCCGACACCAACGCAAAGTTTAAAGCACACAACACAATGTTCAAGCAGGTGGAATGTGCGTTCTGACATCCTAGGAAGCAGCTATAGGAATTGTCAGTGTGATTCGTGTTAACAATGTAGAAATCGAGAGTAATGCAGTGGCTACAATTTAGGGATTTATCTCAATCTGAGGCAGAGTTTGGGTCTCATTACGCGATCTCAATCTGAGATGAGGCATTGGTCTAGTTTTATTCATAAGTGTATAATACAAAATTGATCCAGGCAATCATTTGGTTATATGTTTAATTTTTCTGTCACTTCTAAAGCTGGTGTTGTTTCCACTTTTTAAAGTATTGCCTTAAAGTTACTCACAGCTGAGTTTTAGACATATAGTATTGTAGCACCCAGCCCATCACCAGCGCCAAGCGCCTTCCACCAATGTTTCCAGGTTCACTCCCACTTGCCCTCTTGACAGGCAACTTTCTAAGTCTGGCCATTAACGTATGCGTGTCTGAATTTCAGTGTTGTTGAACTGGGGTTTGGATATTTGACTTCGTTATTCATGCACTGTAACTTTTCACATGACTTCCATGACATGGCCCCTTTTGCTTAGCATTTTTTAAAAATATTATTTCTTTCTTGAAACAAAACAATATATCGACTTTATAATTTTTCTAAGCCATATTGAATCTACATTTTTTTCTCTAATTATGGTCGCAACCTCTCATAAAGATGAGAGATTAACTCATTTTCTCTGTCTTCTTTGCTGTCTCTATAACTTTTGTTATAAGCTAGAATTTTAGATTCACTTCGCTTAATCACTTAACTTCCCATTAGTCATCGATTTGCTCAAGCGGGTGCCAGTAACGTCTCCATTTGTCCCTGTCGCGTGCTAGTGTAGCCCAAAGGCATCTGTTCGCTCTGGGAACATGAAAAGCCTCAAACCGATCGTTCATGATCTTGACGAAGAAGTCTGACCATCTGCTAGGTGGGTTACCACGCGGTTTTTTGACATCCGGTGGAATCCAGTCGGTAACAGCTCTAGTCCAGCGGTCATCTTTAAATCTCATTACGTGACCAGCCCATCTGATTTTTGACACCTTGGCAAACGAGACAGCGTCCCTGATTCTTGATCGTCGACGGACGTCAGAACTCCGGATTCTTTCTCCCATTTGAGTGAAACGTGATATTCCAAGCATAGCTCTTTCAATTCTTCTTTGGGAGACCTGAATAGTGTTCTCATCCTGTTTGCGTAGGGCCCAGGTCTCTGAGGCATATGTTAGTGCAGCAAGAACAGTGGAATCAAAGAGATGCGCCCGGAGCCAGAGGTTCTTCGTCCTCTTAGCTATTTCTTCGACGTTCTTGAAGGTGTTCCAAGCTGCTCTCTTCCTCCTGCGCAGCTTGGGTGCCAGGTCATTTGTCATGTTGACTCCTCGACCTAGGTACACACAGCTGTTGCATTCAGAGATGGTCGTTCCATTGAGTATTCATATTCGTAAAAATTTTAGATTAAGCATTTATAAATAATAATGTCCTTCTTATCATATATTTTATTTTTAATTTGAGGGCTTTGGTATATTTTATAAATATTTTAATAACTTCGTGTGCAACTAGTTGCATTGTCACTTTATACTCCAACTTGTCCATCTTTTAGTTTCTTATTTGACTAATTTCTTGGTTGAATGAAAGATTTCAAATGATCCCCCCCAAGAAAGTGATAATCTTCTTACTATTTATATACATCTTCTTAATTGCAGTTTTAAGGAAGGAAATATTAATGCCATCAGTACTCATCAATACACTGGCTCAGCTCTTCACACATTACCTGTCTGAATGCAAGGTTCCATCCCAGTGGAAAACCAGAAGGACTCTACTACTGTACAAGAAGGGAGACATACAGGACATTGGCAAGTATCTCCCGATCTACCTGTTATCTGTCATCTACAAGCTGTTCACTCGAGTCATCCTGAATAGGATTGGCAGAACACTAAATGAAGGACAACCATGCGAGCAAGCCAGGTTCTTAAAAGGATTCAGCACGATCGACCATATCCACATGATAACCAAGCTCATTGAGGTTTCTCGGGAGTTCAAGATGCCGCTCTGTCTAACATTCATTGATTTAAAGAAGGCCTTTGATTCTGTTGAGACAGAAGCAGTCATTGAAGCCCTAGCCAATCAGGGCATTCAAACTCAATACATCAGGATCCTCTGTAAGATGTATTACGGATTCACTACCAGGATCACACCATTCTACAGGGAGGTGATCATAGACATCAAGAGAGGGGTTCAGCAGGGTGATATCATTTCACCGAAACTCTTCAGTGCCACCCTCGAGAATGTCATGCAATGACTGGAATGGGAAGGAATGGGAGTTAAGATAGATGGTCGGCAACTACACCACCTCCACTTCACTGATGGCATCATTCTAATTACACCAAACTTCAGTCAAGCTGCACCAATGCTGGCCGACTTCGACCATGAGTGTGGAAAGGTCAGACTACAGCTGAGTCTCACAATGTTTATGATAAATGGTCTTGTTCCTGATGCTCCATTCGCTCTCAATCAAAAGAACGTCTCCAAATGCAACAGTTATGTGTACCTAGGTCGAGAAGTCAACATGACGAATGACCTGGCACCTGAGTTGCATAGGAGGAAGAGAGTGGCTTTGTGTTTTTGTTTGTTTGTTTGCTAGAAGAGTATTTTATTTTATATATATATATTTTTGTTTAATTTTTATTAGTGAAACACCATGAGGTACAGTTATAGACTTACAAATTTTTGTGCTTGGGTTTCAGTTATACAATGATCAAGTACCAATCCCTCCACCAGTGCCCATTTTCCACCACCAAGTCTCCCAGTATCCCTCCCACCCCCATCACCCCCATCCCACCCTACCTCTGTGGCACTCTCTCTGAGAGAACCTCTTTTGTTCTCTCTCTCCTTTTGGGTGTTGTGGTTTGCAAAAGAGACATTGAGTGGCAATCATGTTTGGTCTATAGTCTACTTTCAGCATGCTTCTCCCATCCTGGGAAGATTCTCCCAACACCCTTTATTTGGTCCTCCCTTCTCTATCTGGGAGGTGCCTTTTCCCCTGGCATGTGTGGCTGGCCTCCAAGCCATTGAGCAAAATTCCTGATACTAATCTCAGCCACTCTTGGATGTTAGTCTCCTATTTTGTCTGGACGCCTTCAAGAACATCGAAGAAATATCTAAGAGGACGAAGAACCTCCGGCTCTGGGCACATCTCTTCGATTCCACTGTTCTTCTTGCATTAACATACACCTCAGAGACCTGGGCCCTAAGGAAACAGGATGAGAAAGCAATTTGGGTCTCCCAAAAAGGAATTGAAAGAGCTATGCTTGGAGTATCACATTTCACTCAAATAAAAGAAAGAATCGAAGTTCCAACCTCTGTCAACGATCAAGAATCAGGGATGCTGTCTCGTTTGCCAAGGCATCGAAAATCAGATGGGCTGGACACGTAGTGAGGTTTGGAGACAATCGTTGAACTAGAGCCATTACCAAATGGATTCCACTGGAGGTCAAAAGACTGCGTGGCTGCCCACCTACGAGATGGTCACACTTCTTCGTCAAGACCCTGAACGATCAGTTTGAGGCTCTTTGTGTTCCTAGAACGAGCAGACTCATAGCTACACTAGCACGTTACAGGGACAAACGGAGACGTTACTGGTGCTGTCTCGAGAAAATTGATGAGTAACAGGATGTCGAGTGATCAAGTGATTATTATTTAATAATAATTTATTAATAATCAATTAATCTCCTCATTAATCTCCTTGATAATCTCCTCATCGGCCACCCTCCAGAACTCACAACTGCTTCTCCCGGAAGGGAGCAAAAAATGAGGATCCCTTAACCATGCCACCGGACTCTGCACGAGGTTATTTTTGCTTGGGGGGCCCCAGAAAGGGGGTGGGTGAGTGCCCTCCCCACCCCAAGGAACCAGACCCTGCTGTCAACCTCCACTACATAACTGCTGCCACACTCCAGGCCGCTTTCCAGATGCTCAGGCCGAGCCTCACATATGAGTGAACATATTCCTGGATCAAGGGGCTGCAACACATCATAAGACACTTCCTACCCATTTTCCATAATTACCACATCATATTTGGTAGGAATCAGACAGTAGACAACAAATCATGGTCAGAAATTATATATATATATATATATTGCAGAACTGGCAAGCTACCAAGAGTATCCCACCCATGCCTGGCAAGCTACCTGTGGTGTATTTGATATGTCAAAAACAGTAACAATAACGGGTCTCATTTCCCTGACCCTGAAAGAGCCTCCAATATGGCAACCTTGGGAAAGACGAGAAAGGAGAGGTTGCTAAAATCTCAGGGGTGGGACAAATGGAGACATTACTGGTGCCCACTCAAGTAAATCGATGAACAATGGGTTGACAGTGATACAGAAATACAGTGAATATTAATCAATTAAAAATCAATGTATTGGGGAAAATTTGTTTTTTAAAAAGTGAAACTGATCATAATGAATCACTTTAAATTACATTATATGGAATGAGCAGAATAGCAAAACTATAACAAGTCGGAATTAAAGATTGTTTAGAATGCTTATCAGGAGCATGAGGCATAAAGTTCGAGATTGAGTGGTGGGGTTTAATTTTATTTTACAAAATTAAAATATTAAAAAATGAATTCTTGTGCTGGGTGTATGATGTTACAAATAT